AAGACACATTTCTACATTGATAAATTACTGTACCTACTAGCATTCATGGCTGTGCATTGTAACGTTTGGGGTACCGGTATATCATCAGACATACATGTACATGTATGGTACCGTAAGTGCAAGTAAATTACAAATTTATATTCAACAGTGAAATTCAACCCTTCTCCTGAAACTCATCTCTCTTGGAATCGTAACATAATCCTTCAGTAAATTGGCCCCGATATTATTTCTCATTGGCAAACTTCATGTCCCAGGGATGCTGCCTGACACATTTCCATCAAGAATTCAGGCTTTTTTCCTTTAAAGGCTAGGGAGAAGGGCTCATGCAATGTGTCAACGAACACGCCACAAATCTGTTGTTTCTCCCCAAATCCAATTTAACCGAGGAGTGAGATTCCGTCTGTTTTTTTTTTTCCTGGTAGATTAGCTGTCCAGAAGACTGTGGAATCTAACACAGCCTGGTGCTGGATCCAGAGAGAGGGAGGGGTAAGGGGTGTGAAATCTCAGATACAGTAGGAAGTCGGTAAGGTAAGGGGCAAAAATGTCTCACGCAATGTGTAAAATGAACCCAAGCCAGATGGTCCACTGAACTGCAGTGAACGCACTGGCCTTAAATATGCACAGTCGTGCATGTGGATTGACAATAAAGTGTGCCAATCAATTGAAAAACAAATGAAATTCAGACTTTTTATGAGCCCATCTACATGTATGTCACGCTGCATCAATCCTTGCACGTAGTAGCAGCAAGCCAACAAAGTTTTTTTTTATTCTCTCATGTTCTCAGACAGTTCCGAGTGTAAAGTATTAAAAATTACACAGGTGAAGGACAAGACAAAAAGATTAAGAATAGCAAGACCAACAAATCACAGAGAAATCACAACTCCAAAAGATGAGAATTCTATCCATTTTCAATTTTTCTTTTTCAATAACACAATGCACTGCCATGACAAGGAAGGTTACAGGAACATGTACCCCTGTACAGTACATGTAGGGTACATGTACCAGCATATGATCATGTACAAGAAAAAGCACAGGCTGTCCATTCATGCTGCATTTCACCATGGCTGTAACAATGACAAGACTCCAGATGAATGCTCCATTCACCAATTTTTAAAACTGCTAAATAAACCCAAGGTCCAGACATCTACCGCCATATGTTAGAAACAGAAGGCCCTCGACTGCTTCCAATTTTATGCATGGTATTCTTCATAAGAAACAGGAATCACATTTGTCTGGACTGACAAAAAAAAATGAATTCATGCTGAGCCAATGATATGGTGTGACCAACTATTCCAGAACCCTTTCACAATGAATGGCAAAGCCCTAGTACAAGTCTAATCTTGCCATGGACAGTCATGCACGTGAATCACGTACACATGAGTCTCGCACACGCATCGGTTGGGCACAGTAAGCAATATTATTCAGACTCTCTCGTTAATATTCACGGCACGGCCATCAGTCATTGGGGCCAATCGTCATGAGGCTGGCGCTGACAGAGCAGGCCATATCCAGGCAACTGTGATATGAGACGGAGCCTGTCAGATGATGAAACATACATGTACACACATACATGTATACACCCGCCCCGCACTGCAAGTAATTTGCACCATTCTTTGCATCAAGCAAATAACTGCTCCCCTCATTATCATGCAACCTGCCGCGAGGCCCTTGGTGTGTTTTTTCCTCGGTTCCTCCCCCATCTGAATTCTCCTCCTCCAGACAGATCAAAATGACCGGGCAAAAGGAGAGGTTTCCAATGGGGGACTACGTACATGTACTGTACAAGAAATTAGAAAAACCAAACCTCGCGCGAGTTTACAGGCCAGCCAGACAATTATGGGACAATTATGCATGCGGTGACCAGTTCGCGAGGTGGGGATGGGCGAGAGGAGAGTCGGGGGAAAAAAAAACCCATCCCTGAAATAGTGAACGAGTTCCCAGATCAGCTGACGGTGTCATGACTGCTGCTGCATCTACCCAATGTACATGTATACTGCAAAACTGTGACGCCAAGTGCAGCCGGTGTCTTTATTTCAATGTCTGCGGCTTGGAGGGGTGCTGTTAATGCTGTGTCCATGAAAACCCGACAGCATGACGCTCACAGTATGCTCGGTGTGTGCTCAATGTACATGTATGCGTGTGCATAATGCACGGCTTGGCTGACTGCATGGGTGTGGCTTGAGAACCTCAGGCCATTAGACACAGCATATGTGAACTGACAAGTCGTGGCCAAAATGTGAATGCACTTTGGGGTATTTTTCTTTTCGATATAAACACCGGGGGGCCATATCAATAATGTAATGCACTGACGCACTAATAAACTAGGGATCGTATTGTTAGAAATAGCAGTTAATAGTGTTCTAAATCAATTTTGGTTTCAAACAGAACTATTTCTGTGTACACGTACACATGTACATGTATGTACATGTATGTACATGAACATGCTTCTTTTTCCTTGTAATGTATGTTATGCATGCATTGTAAACTGCAAGCCTGCCGGTAATCTGTTCCATCCTTGAATGAATCTCTCACGCCAAACTACATGTAGTTTTCTAGATCCCTGCTCTAGCATGTGTCAAAGTGATGTGCATGTACATGTACAATTGTACCCGGTATGTGCCCTGCATTTTCAATTATCTCCATCATTACCTGCTAACCAGTAGTGTCAATTTTCTATGGCTGGCCTGGTCTCAGGGTTGGCAAACCATGAAACTCTGTTCACCTTATTAGCAGCCCATCATATCATTCAGTAAAACATAAAAAAAAATGAAAGGATTAACAACACTGGTTCTCCTTAATGCAGCTCTACAACTGAATCAGGTTACAGGTTACCTTTGATAAAAATGGATTATGCAATGTGGCAATTTATACACACCTCAGAGACAGTGGAAAGATTTGATGCATATTGGTACATGCACAATGTGCACACGCTCCCATGCACTCTCTCCCTGATATCTCAATCCTGGTACTGCCCTAACCCCTTGTTCTCGCCTCTCTGACCTCCACCAGCACTGGAACATTCTTCCTTTCCTGGCCCCTTCCTTCTCTCCCTGCAATTTATGCTTGCCTTGCCAGACATGGGTCAGCTCTCTGGCATGTGTGAGCGAGTGGTCAGCTGGGGTCATTTATTTTGAGTCCCTCACTGGGGCTTTTTCCCCAGGCCCACAGACTGCCAGAGGACAAATTGGGGTGGGAAGATCTATGATAAGGCTGAGGAAAAAACAAACTAGGCATGGGGAATACATGTGTTGTGAGAAACAAGACTTAAAACTATGGGACCACAAATCCAGGGGCCTGGACTGGCAAATTTGGCTCAGTCTTAATAGCTGTGGTAACTTTAGGGGACCAGTACCAGCATTATTTGCAGAATAAACAAGCATACTGGTAGGTAAAGATCTATAAAATTCAGATCCAACTTCTTCCCAAGAAAACTACCGGTAGCAATTTTTCATTTCAAGAAACCATTTACCAAAAAATGACCTTTGGCCTCCCAGCTAGGATCCTTCTCCTCAGATCTACCGGTACCAGGATCTCTTTGATTATTCTTACATGATTGACGGCCCAGTCATTACCAACTCATAAAATGTACCAAAAACCTGTTGGGCCAATGGGGCAGATTTTAAAAGATTCTGGACATACATGTATGCCCTCTGCTGGTCAAAATCCATTTTCGAGTAACATGTGGAACGGCGTACAAAAACCTTTACAATCAAGCATACCGGTACCTTTGCCATTTTCCAAACCTTGGTTATGTCCATGGCCGTGGCTCTGCCTGAAAACTGCGGTCCTGCACATTGCATTTATTTTTTGATGGATTTGTCGTTTTTATTTTGATCACTGTTTCAATTAATCGGACAGCTCCCCCTCCCCCACCCATCATACCCGGTATTATAATTTTCCAGCAAGTTTCCCAAGACGGTAATGTAGTCAGTCTGGAGACTCAAAATGAATTTTTTTGCTAAACGCATGCCATTTATAATGCATTCTATCCATTTGCACAGGTGTCAGCTACATGTGACCAAACTGTGTGTTCATCCCACATTTTGGAGGTAACATTTCAGGCGTATAATGCTTAAGATTTTTTTTTCCGTTTAACCACTTTGAGGCTGTTCTCCAAGCCCTCTTACAGGAAATCTTTTTTTTCACAAAGTGGTTTCCATTTACTGAGGGGGAAATTGTAATAAGAAATCAACACACCGTTGGTTTGAATCAACCAACCAAATAAAACATGCAGGACTGAATTTACTTGATGTACTTTAAGCAGATCATGGACCTCCATACGGGGTACGTTTTGCCAGAGTTTTCCGAATCAGGTCCTATACATGTCAGAAGCCAAAGCCAAGGTATGAAGCTAAGATTTGGAAAACGCCCACGGTAAAAAAAATCACAGGTACTGTAGGTACATCATGTACATGTAATCACTATTTGAGATTAAATTCTACACGAGAAAAATACAATGTAACAAGGTACAACAATATGTCATACATGTATTTATATGTACATTACATCTACGGTAGACTTGACCAGAAATCCGGCTGCACACAGGTGTACTTACACAACACTGAACAGGCAAGCTGCAGGCAGGTTCCAGATGAATGTGGACGGGAATGCAGGATAGACTTATACAAGTCTACATTTAAACAAGGAATTCAAGGGGCCTGATGAGAACATGCGCTGCCTAATCAACAACCAAAACGCCATCAAAATCGAACATACTGCATGAACATTCATACAATGCATTGCAATTTTTTAAAAAAGTACAGCCGTGCTTCCAAATAAGCATTGTTGAAAATGTGACAACGATGAGACCAGAATTAACCGATGATGGTGCTACCACAATCTTAACGGGTAAAACAAAAGAAATATTGCGATGAATCCCCGAATGAATTTAATAATCGCCCCATGCACAAAAACTGCATGCCAAATAGGGGAAAAAAAAAAGAAAAAAAAGAAAAAAAAGGGAAAAAGAAGAAACTAATCAATAAACGAAAAAAACAAACCTGAAACATGTCCTAATTAACATGTTGGCAAATTGAAAGAAAAGAGAAAAAACAAAAGTTAAGTTTACTGCAAATTAGGGGGCTGTCTTCAAATACCGGGGGAGGGTGCATGTACATGTAGGCCTAATTAACACACAACTGAAAGAAACTGGGACATGTATACTTGTTTACGTGTGTGAAATGAACCATCGCACAACCTGCTTTCCTGCTTAGCAAAAGTAAATTTAATTTATTTACCGGTATATGGTACACGACAAACTGATTGCTCTAATGGCCAAATGACAATGCCCAGGTGCAGGTCTGAAATTGTTCCAACTCCTAAAATATACACTATAGATGTACATGTACCAGTACACTACCAGGTACATTGTACATCCACATACTTTAGTAGATCATGTGGATTTTTTTTACACAATAGAAAGAATCAACCTGCCTTTGTTGTGTATTGATTTTTATGAGCCAGACAGTTGTGTCTACTGGTGTCCATGTAGGAGTACCGGGTACCATAGTGATGTGACAACTGAGAATGTTTATCATCAACAGAAAGTCAGGAAATTATGAACAGTGCCCATCCTTGCACGCAGGTCAGTACTGCTTTCAGAACATTCAATGGATAATATTCCAGCACAATATTTCATCCTGTTTTCACACTGAGTCACACTGATGTCGTGGCTCAAGTCCGCAGCATGACTATACCAAGTCGAAGCCTGCGGGACTAATGTGATGAGTTGCTCCCTTCATTTGAGCAAGACAAGTTTACACGTTTGTGGAATACCGGCATGTAGCTACATGTATAGGCCTGGCCCCCAATTGGACTGCTTAAGACTGCTCAGAATCACATGACGCTTAATGATTTTACAACGTGCGACATCATTTATGACAGAAAAAAAGAACACACCTCAAAAGATCCACGTATGTGTACACATATATGTGCACATCGTGATCTGGGATCATGCTGTGCATTTGCACATGTAAAAGCTCCCAAGAATTACCAGTATGGGATACCAGTAGCTCTCAGTAAGTGGGAACAATGAACTTTTTTGCAGCATACATGTGCACTGTACCGGTACTTACATATTTTAACTACATCAAAAACCATTTTATGAGGCAGATACTGTGAGCTCTGATAACATTAAAACATTAAACAGGCATACAAACTGCCTACTGCATTCGCAGTTAGAAAAAACTGACTTGGAATCTGGTGGAGTAGTCAGGGGGAAGGGGGATGTGCCCCCCCCCAAAAAAATTCCCAGTGTCCTCCCCCAGGGGCCCCCACTGAAAAAAACCCCAAAAAACGGAGGAATGGATATTGAGCAAGGCTAACAAAAACTTGCCCCCAAAAACACACCACCGAAAGCTGGTGCCCCAAGATGCTGGTGCCCCTTTGGGCCCCCTCCCCCACTAGTAAAATCCTAGCTATGCCACTGTTGGAATCCAATCACCATGCAACATTGTAAGTCTCCTTTTTCGTCGGTTCTTGCTTTTTATCCAAAGACCCAGACGTGACCCAGATCTTAATGGGATGCAACATGTTAAATTTGCCAGCAAGCAAAGGCGGCAGTGACGTACATGTTACACACACATGGAATTGTAAGCTGGTGGAAGGGGGCCTTGTACTACAATTTTTTTAGTATGAGATTATCATCTGGCAAAAAAAGAGGCCAGGCTCCCGAAACACAGCATCATACACGTATTTGTACATGTACCATCTTATTCATCATAAGCGTTTAAAGCATGTGTACGCTTGATTTCCTAAACGAGCCTCCCCAGTTCCAATGTGGGCAGACAATTTGTATGGTGCATTGTCCGTGCTCCACCAATGCCTGTGTGAAAAAGAAAGAAAAACTTCCTGGCACGATCAATCAATTTTCCACAGTCGGGTGCTCTCTATTGTTGGCTTTCCTTTTGTTGTCTCCCCTGCCATTGTGGGGGACCTCTGCCAGGGACCTACTTGGTTCAACCCACTCCAGGCTCTGATGAGCGCTGCATGTAAACCTCCACTCTATCAAAACTGTGAACTGAACAAGGCCTCCTAACCTTGAGCTCCAGACAGAAAAAAAGAAAGAAGAATCTAGGGTTTATCCATACAAGCTATTCTTATCAGACTTCATCCCTTCTGTCTCTTTTATGTACAAACCTAGAACAGCTTGCCTGGTTTTTGTGATTACTGCACAAAACTGGGAGAGTCATCCGTGAGGCCACCTATCCTTACACAGCTATACTTGTGGGGTATTTCCTTTGTTCTCGTGTACAAAACTCCCACACAACACGCAAAAAATTTCAAATCACTCTGGTTTCAACCAAATTCACTTTCCTGGGTTGAAATTTTGATCGTATGTCCCTCATATAAAACACTTCAATTTGCGACAGATTTTTACCCATCAAAATTTCCCCTTTTTGAGTTTTTTCCAAATATCAGTTTTGTGAAATTCTTGAGGGGTACCACAAGGTAAAAACTGGCCTTGTGGGGTATTTCCCATTGTTCCGGTATCTCACAAGGCCCCATGTATAAGCGCACAGTCACACGCTGTGAAAATCTGGAGACATACTATCAAGCTAAAATATCAATTCAAGACATACATGTACATCCAAAGTGTGGACCTCAATCAGCCTATTTACCAAGAACCCTGCCGTTTTTTAGCACTACTCTGAATCCATCGCATTCTGAGATGGCAAATCTAGCCAGAGATCTGTGACCCATCCATGCGTGTGAAGCTAGGTCGATGTCAGAGGAATGACTAACCCTTCTAATAGCAAGCATCACTCAGGGGATTAAGGTAAAAAAAATAAATAAAGGAGAAAGGAACCGCCTGAATTATTTACAACCACTAGCTGGGACCAATGCTTGAAAGGCCTTGCCCCCCCCCCAAGGGTCTGTAGACTGAACGCTGCAGCGTCAGCCACCCATAATGAAAAGAAACTAGTGGCATGTGCACTCTTACTGGTACCGGTACTTCAAGGTTTATTGATACGCTGTATCTTGACAAACAATCTCCACAAACCGCTCTCCAAAAATAAGTTGGCCTTTTTGACTCTTGCCTTCCACATCCAACAGCAAATCTCCGGGGACTAGTTGAACCCACGCACTAGAGAATTCCTGCTTTTCCCCAGGCCAACACCCACTGAATTGAGCCCTTTTTTTTTTGTAAATAGAGTAATCGGACACTGGAAAAGAGATGAAATTCATCAACCAAATCTCAGTTCATCTGCCTCGGTTTTGATACATATTCTTAGTACATGTCTGCAGGTATGGTACCTAGGGGTACATTATGAACAACACTGCTGGCATACAAGGAAACAAGGTCGAAAATTTGTTACCCCGAAGTTTTGAAAATTGCCAAAAAACAAAACAAAACAAAACATATAGTGCCTCAAGATCCAGCTGAGAACACTCAGAACCCCAATAACATGACCCCAGTGACCCGTGACCCATTCCAAACTCCTCCTGGTTTCTGTGCCACAGCCCCGAGAAGAATTTGGCGATCCCTAGGTCCCATCGCTGGGGGCTGCGTGGCATGGCAGTTGGCAAAAAAAAGCTCAAACGGGGCTGGTTAGGCTAATGAGGCGAGGGAAATACTGCTGGGAGGATCAAGGAGGGATTCCAGGGGGCGATTCATGCTTCATGCTCAGGTACACCAAAGTGTACCCAGTACTACCTGTCTTTACCTCAGCCTACTGGCGGAAAGAAAATCAGACATGCATCTTTGTTACATTTACATGGTGCCAGGTGAACACACCTCCGATTGCCATCCATCTTCATGCAGTCAGCTCCAAGCGTTGAGTTTTACTTATTTATTTTTTCAAATGAGATACCGGAGGAGGATTTTCTTTCATATCAAACCTACACTGTCTTTTTACAATATCGTCAAACAGGTGCAATTAAGGGCCATTCTAGATCACTATTAGTCTCAGCATGATTTACTCCCTGCCAAAGTCACCTTCTTCTACGTGTACCGGAATCCATAAGAATCACTTGAGATGAAAAAAAAAATTGCTGCTTGCTTGTGGCTGAAATACAGTCTAGTCTACACATGCACACGATGTACACTAGAACTTGAGGCAAAGATTCTCCAAATCTCATTATGCTAGTCATCGGAGAACAGCATGCCAAAGCACCTCATGAAATAATCCAGCTTTTTTTTAATCTCACCCCCCTCCCATATGCATGTACTTGATGATTCATTCATCGACTCCGGCATTGAAGTGAACAGCCTCGGCCCGTTCAACCATTAATGAGTCAGTGCACCCAGCTCATGCGGCACAAGCAATCCATCCATGAAGTTGAGAATCCAGACCTTCCTCAGAATTAATGAGATTCTCTCTGTTTCATCAGCAAGGGTGTTTGTGGATGGCTTAGTAATTACGATACCTGTGATGCAGAGAGCTTTTCACAAATATTCTTGGCTCATAACCGTACGGAAATTACCACAATAAAGTAACAGGTAGCTGTGTGAATTTCTCAACTCTCTACTTATTTGTTATATTTAGGCTTTCAACTAGAACTGTCTTCTAATGTACTAACAGGTGTATGATACCTATATGTGAATTAGGACAGGTGTATCAAATTCCAGAATTTAATTTGTATGCATGTGTTATGCACATACATGCACAAATTACATTTTCTGACAAACAAATGTACATGTACTCTCCCTATGTGGTTATTCCATCTGCAAATTGGTGATTGTTCACAGTGACACGAAATAAGGCAATTGGAAACCACGTCGGAATGATTTCAACAGCTTTGCATAATTTTTGTGATTCATCCAGTCGGTTTGAATAATACAGGAAATAATTCCCCCCCCCACAAATGGAAAGACCAGAGCTTTGCCCTGGATACCCACTGCCAGTAGCTGCATGCCGGGGTCATACCATTCATCTAGCGGGGATGACCTACATGGTACATGCTGTGGATATAATATTTCTATCCCCGGGACTGGTTTCCATAGGATCCAGGTATGATGAAAATTAATACTGCTATTTGTCCTGACTGGTGTGTTGGCACCAAATACACA